TGACATGCTTTACTTACCACAGGTCAGGAACCCTGTACATGGACTGCATAGAGAGGGATATGGTGCTATTTTAAGGGACTTTTATCAGCTCTGCAAGTCAAGCTTGACTCCTTAAAGGGAAGCATACCTTTCCAGTCAAAACCATGATAAAATAACCAGTTTCTGTCCTGTTGCAAAAGAAAATAGATGTTTATTGCACTGATAGAAACAACTATATTGCCATGAGTTAAGAATACTCACAACTAGTTTCCAAATTCTCGAGAAGCAAGGAAGAGAGAGAATAATAATGCTCCAAATTGTGTTCACAGAAGTATACCTCTCCCAATCATGAAAGTCCATAAATAGTTCAAAGTAAAGTTTCTTTGATTCTGAAAAACAAAACAAAGATCAGCAATATTCTAAGTAAAAGTCAAAAAGATTACTCTAGTTTTCTATTAGTAGTCCTTTCAGTTAACTATTATTTTGCTTGATATTAATGAACATTTCAGTTTTTCACAAGTCCTATACATTTTTCCTTTTTCCAATGTTACAGTCTCTAAAGTTATCAGAAACCTGCATTTGAGAGCACCTGTCAAAGTTATATAGCTGATTATAAACCATCTTTTGAAAAGGATCAAAACAAAACAAATGTTATCTGTGGATAACAAAATGTCCAGGGTAGTTACAATGAGAAACATACATAACAACCTGAATTATGATTGATAGAATATACTTTAGACATTAGAATTTTAGAAATCCCAGACAGTTTTGGAACATATATTAGTATTATTCATCAAAATGTAACCTGAAGAAGACTGAACACTATTTTGGCAATCCCATGTAACTAAACATGTCAGATAATCCTGTTTACCTCTCTTTCAGATCCTCCGCAGGCCCTCTGTAACATCCAAAAGCCAAGCATCAGGAAAGACAGTTTTGAAATTGAAAATTGATTTTCGGAAGCCTGTTAAATATGTTAGACATTTAAAATACTTGATATTATGAAATAGATTTCCAGATTGCCACAAGTTATTTATTTTACCAAAATGATGACTTAGAAATTTAAAAAAGCAAAAAACCTTTTAAATATCTTTACAAATTTTGCCAAAGAGCAGATTAGTATCTTAAGAGTACCTTGTTGCATTTTATTTCAATGTTCCATGTTTAGAAAAACCATATAATACCCTTTTGAATTCAGGCAGTATGTTTACACATGGAATTTCTTTTGCAAGATTAATTTTTACAGTCCTTTCACAACTTGTTTGAACTTTTACCTTTATCTCATCCAATTCAAAACAATCCTTTAACCCTAGCCAAAATTTACATTTCAACACCATCTTATAATCTTTTATTAAAAACATTTGCTGTTCTTACACACCTCACATATAAATTTATTTCCAGTTGTTTCAATTACATGTTATAATGGTAGCTTCTAGCAATTTTTGACTTTAATGTAAAAACTGGTAAATTGTTTTAAGTGCTATAGGTGCAGCCAAGGTTTGACTCCTTCCAACATAATTAAGGGTGTGGTTAGTTCCATATGTCCCCAGGCATTACCAGTTGTGAAGCAGGCAAGCTAAATAGTTCTCAAACCCAGAAAAGCAATTTATAATCTTAAAACATATAGCAAACCTAGTATCTAACCTGCATAATTCAGTTCACCTATTCATATTTTGATGACATCTGCATTTTACCAGTAATCTTTAAGGCTGTTTTTATTTCTCAAAGACTAAGGTCTTGTGAACTAAAAGGTACCACAGCTTTTATCTTCCCTTTAAAAAGTATTTGATCCAAGCATTTCTATTCCTTTAGGCCAATTAATCAGAGCTCTTTTTTTAGACACCAAACGTATAATACATATATAACTACACAGAGAGGCAGGAGAAAACCTAGTCACCATAAGATTTTTCATTTACCAATCTCCTAATTGGATTATTGGCCTTGGGGTGGAGCTCTTAAGAAACAGGGCTAGGAAAACATGTAGCTTTTAAGGCTTAATAAATAGGCATAGGTGGGGCAAAAACAGATTTTGAGAGTTATCTGTTCACTTTTAATTCCTAGGGTTCCGTGAGGAAAACAGAGGTCTCTCCTCTCTCATGCATACATTAAGAATGACAAGGCATGTAATCCCAGCACTTTGGGAGGCCGAGGCGGGTGGATCACGAGGTCAAGAGATCGAGACCACCCTTGTCAACATGGTGAAACCCCGTCTCTACTAAAAATACAAAAAATTAGCTGGGCATGGTGGTGCGTGCCTGTAATCCCAGCTACTCAGGAGGCTGAGGCAGGAGAATTGCCTGAACCTAGGAGGCGGAGGTTGCGGTGAGCCGAGTTTGCGCCATTGCACTCCAGCCTGGGTAACATGAGTGAAACTCCGTCTCCAAAAAAAAAAAAAAAAAAAAAAAAAAGAATGATAAGGCAAAACGGAGAAAAAGAATTCAGTCAACTGAGAATAAAACCTTTTTATAGCAAAACAAGGTCTAAGAAAAGAAAAACATGAAGGTCTTTTAAATATGCCTGTAACTTGGATATCCACTTTTAATTAAGCTGAGTACTCTTTAAGAAAATTCTTTTTTTTTAATAGTATATTTATAAAACAATGCAAATACCATTTGAAATTAGGAAGCATTTCCCATTTTTATTCATAAAATTATTGATCAGAATTGCAAAAGTAGATTTATCAGCCCCAGGTAACAAAACAGGAAATGAAATGTTCCAGAGATGTTCTGAAAAGTTCCAAAGAAATACACACTAGCCTAAAAATCTAAACCATAGTTAAACCGTAGTAGCACAACAAGTTATATTTATTCCTGCATTTTCTCACTAAGTTCTTCCTTATATTTGCCTTTCTCTTTTCCAACTTGTCAAGACTTGGCTTTGCGTTCAAGAATTTTTTTTCCAGTCCTTGTCCAGTTTTAGCCTAATAACCACCACCTTGCTCAGGTGAATGCCCACATGGATGGTTGTGCTGTTGACCTTCTTACACTCCACCCACTGGTTGTAGATGACATATTTCTTTCTGTACACCTGGACTACCTTGCTAATTTGCTGCCCCCTTTGTAGTGTCCTCGAACTACCTGGACCTCATCGTCTTTTCAGATGGACATGAAGCAGACATTGTACTTCTGCCACTGCTCTTTGGAGAGCAGGGATGACATGATCTTCCTGCACATGTACGAGGGGACATCGAAGTGATGTTTTTGGTTTTTGCTGCAGTCCGAGGTCACGAAGGGATTGAACTTCATGGTGACCCTCTGGCTGCCAGAGGCCTCAAGAAAATTCTTTTAATGTCCTTGTTACTCAACATAAGCTGTGCCAAGTAGCCAAAATTTCTGGCTTTCAAATTTTACTAAAGTCTCAGAGAAAGGAAATCCAAGGTGGCTTGTGAAGGGGAAGAGAATCAACATAATAGCAAAGGTCAGACCAGAAAGAACTCATTCCCTAAGCCAAGATTGAATCCTGGCCACCATTATAAAATGGCAGAGGCTAAACAAAGCATTGCCATTTGGTTACATGTCATGCTCCCAAGGAGGTAAAACAAGATGAAGGCCTGCACAAAGTTTGCTATGGACCATGCAGAAAGACATGCAAAAGCACAGCAAATTGGCTACAGCTCAAGATGAACCTCACAAATTCTTTTTGATAATTAAAACTTTCCAGAGACTATAAATAATTCCTGGCCTAGTAAAACTTTTTTTTGGGGGGGGGGGGGGGGGGGGGAGGAAGCTTGCTTAAAAGTTAACTCCTACCTAGTGGAGAAAAGAAAGCAAGCTTAAAGTGCAGGACTGTGTTAATGGCTGACAGGGTAGGGAAAAGGAAAAATTGTTTAAAGTGTAGGGTTGGAAAGATGCCTGGAAGAAGCAGCTCATATTCTTTGCCAGTGGGCTCCTCCAACAGGAGAGAAACTTAGGAGCTGGGGAGCCTCCAGTTCGCCCATCCATCTGAAAAAAAAAAAAAGGAAAAGGCTGACATTCCCAGTCCCTGGGAGTGACATGGGTTGATAGGAGGCATAATTTTCTCTACCCTCAGAAGTCTGAGAGCGAAAAAGAAGTAAAAGGAAGAAAGATTTTTTAGTTTGCTTGTTAGATTCACCCTTTTTCATGTCCCCGTATGGGCCACCAAAAGAGGAAAAAACCAGGTTGTTGTCACACAACCAGGAAGGTTCATGGACACATTGAAGGGTGATTAGAGAGGAATTTGTTGGGCAGAAAGGAAAAAAGCAAAAAAAAAAAAAGTCTCACCAAAGTAACATGGAGTCCTGCTAACAGGCCCTCTACCTCGCAGATTGATTCCCAGGTTACCACATGAGCTGAAGAGAGCAGGCTGCTCCCCTGCATAACGCAGGAATCCACCGTGGCTCCACCTATTTCCCACAGTGTGTGTGTTGGACTCCAGTCCACTGTGGGCATCCCAGACAAGCCCTGGGCAGATTTCCTCATCTGCACAAAGGCATCTGATGTGGGCATTTGTGGGGTGGGCCAGAGATTCTCCAAGGACCCCTTTTTATCTGCCTAGGCATTTGGTTGTCTCACTACGTTGTGAAAGTATTTGTGATTTTGAAATTTTAACGTAAGTAAATGATGATGTGATACATGTCAACTCAAAATCTGAATACTATAGATACTGCTTTTATTTTCTTGTGCAAAGTCTCCCTCCTGCTAATGTTTGTCTAGTTAAGCCATGGCACATTCCTTTATTGTATTACTCCCTTAGAGATTAAGCCCATTTTCAGAAAACTTCCACAAGGTAATGGGAATAAGAGCTGATGTGGTTTTTATAATTGGCCAGGATAAACGTTCTGTTGTCATTAATTCTTCGTTAGACTTGTACATGTCCCTTAGAGCTTCCTTGAAATTGTCCAAGTTATGTTGTATTCACAGTGTGATTTCTGAGAGTATTAAAAAAATCAAAGAGGGAATTCGCTATTTTTTAATGTAAATGATTGGGAAAAGATTAAATGGTATATAAATATTTTCTTTAAATACTTTTAATATACTAATAGCATAAACATGTTTGTGCAGGTTTTAACTGGATCATCTCGTCAAAGTTATTCACCTTCTGGCTATCAGGATTTCAGTAAGTGGGAATCAATGTTGAAAATAAAAGAAGGACTTCTAAGGCAGAAAGAAATTGTAATTGATCGGTGAGTCTATTTTAAAATTATTAAATATTTCAGGCCTACAGAAATTAAGATTAATGAAACAATTAGCTTTGTGTTCACTGCATAGAATTTAAGATCTAGAACCGTAATTATGTATTCATTGATGGCACATCTCTGCCCCTCCTCAATCCCAATCCTTTCAAGAACTACTATCAGAACTGATGGTTGGTTTGTTTATCTGTCATCCCTCCTATTCACTTTAATGAATTATTTCATTATTTGGAAACTCCCCTCTGTCTTTTCTGTACATGTAGCAGGTTAGCTGCAATGCTAATGAGCTATTAGAGCTACAAGACAGTGTTTTTGTTTTACCCTTGAGAACTATCCAATTGGAAAGGTACTTTAAAGCAGTCATTTCCTTTAATGGATGCTAGGTCTGAAGCCACAGAAACTACAAAAATGACAACTGTTTAAAATGAAATGATTTACAGTTAAGAATTATAGCAGTTTTGGTGGACATTCCAAAATGTTTAAGTGTTTGAGTACCTAAGCTCTGAAAAAAAAAATCATTTATACTTAATAGACAGTATTAAGTATTGTGAGCAGTAAACCTTCATGTTACGTAATTATATTTTCTTTAATGTATATTGGTTCTACATCATTTATGTATACTCTTGGGATAATTAAATCTGTTGTGTATGACGGTAATTGGGAAATAATTCCAGGAGGCTTTTTTTCTTAATCAATGTTCTTAATTACTTATTTTCATGTGCTTGCATAGGTTAACACAGTAGGTGTTTTGGCCTTAAAATTCTATTTAGTAGTTGAAATTTCATAAGGTTTTGCTTAGAAATTTAGCAATGTTAATGAAGATCTACTGGAATATAAACTAGACCGTAGACATTTGGGCTTTCTTATTCTCCACTACATTCCCCCAATTGTTTTCTTTTTCTTTTTTTTCTTTTCTTTTTTTTGAGACAGAGTCTTGCTCTCTCCCCAGGTTGGAGTGCATGGTGCCATCTCAGCTCACTGTAACCTTCGCCTCCCAGCTCAAGCGATTCTTGTGACTTTGCCTCTAGATAAGCTGGGATTACAGGGCACCACCATACCTGGCTAAGTTTTGTATTTTTAGTGAAGAGTCAGAGTTTTGCCATGTTGGCCAAGCTTGTCTTGAACTACTGGCCTCAAGTGATCCGCCTGCCTCGGTCTCCCGGAGTGCTAGGATTACAGATGTGAGCCACCGTGCGCAGCCTATTCCCAACATTTTGAGGAGAGCCTGGCACATTCTTTATGCTTAAAATTTGATACTTCCATACTTGATAAATGAAGGATTGTGGAAGAGAGTTTTAATCGATTTTAGAAAAAAGTTACTTAAAAATATTAGTTGTTTTTAGTATAAGTGAATGTTATGTATGAATAAGTACAGGCCCAGTTGGATATGTATTTTTAATATTTACGATTTAATATACTTACAATTTTATATACTTGAAATTAATACTTTTTAAAAACAGACTAAAATTCAGTTTTATTTATGTGAATTTGCCCTCCCACAAACAATAGAAATCAATTGGCTTTTATTTTTTTGAATACCATTCCATTGGATATAAGTTAATAGAAAATATAGAAAATTATTGACATAATCTAATAAAATATATATTTCTCAATTGTGTATACTGTGGAAGCAGACTAAGGAATAATTCAAAATAACTCAAGTTGCTCAGTTGGTTAATTCTTCAGCTAGGCTTATTTATGCATCTATGGTAGCAGGTGGGGGCTGGGTGGCCTAAGATGGGCCACAGCAAGATGGCTTATCTTACTCCATGTGTTCTGTCATCCTCTAGCAGGCCAGCCTGGGTGTGTTTGAGTGGTGGCTGGGTGGGATTCTAAAAAAGAATGAAGCATATGAAGTCTCTTGAGGCTTAGACTCAGAAATGTCCCAACATCACTTCTATTATATTCTGTTAGTCACTAGGCCAGTAGCAGTAGACTTCACTTTTGGACAGTAGAAACAGCATCATGTTGACAGGAGGTATTAGCAATATAGGGAGGGTAATAATTGAGGCATTTTTAATAAATATTCTATACCTAGTATCTTAAATAATCTTTGGTTTCTTTATGAGTTTATTAAAAAGTTTTTGATAATTAGTGCATCTGATATTGTATAAAACAGAAGAAAACTAGCAGCTTTTGTTTCTAAAGCAGCATAACCATCATTTAAAAATAAAAATCTTTGTATATGAAAATTTCTATTATATATATATATAGTGCTTAAATTAGAACCAAATATATGACGTTTCTGTTTTTGAAGAAGCAGATTAGAGTAATGGCCTTTAAAATGTTGATGACACATGTAGAGGCTATTTCAGAGACAGACTTCATGGGATTTGACATCCAGATGAATGGAATTGAGAGGAAAGCTGCTGAACTTTTTACTTTGGGATATGGTGTCAATGATACCTTTCAAATCATTTGACTAAAAAATTCTATGTTGTATATTACGTCTAAAAATATCAGGTTACCTGAAATTACATGAAAAAAAAATGTGTTTTTTCATACTGCATATAACTTTTGTAGTAGAAGCCTGAATTATTAGGTTAAAGCAGAGAAAATGGAAAAAATAACTGCTATAGAAACTGTTTCTAAATGTTCCCTGTCTAATGAGAAAAAGCATTTAGATTAACTTCAAGAACAATTCAGAAAAAAAAGAAACCAGGTTTCTCTATCTTTTTATTTGCCACTATAACCATTTAGGTGATTGAGTAAAGTGCTTGACCTTTTGCACTTCCATCTCCTTAACTGCCTGGGTAAAGGAGTTTTACTACTTAAACAAAAATGAAGTTTTTTGAAAGTTTATCTCATAGAAGTAGAGATTGGAAAAGTGGTTACTAGATTCTGGGAAGGGTAGGGGGAGGTAGCGGATACAGAGAGGTTGGTTAATGGATAGAAAGTTACAGTTAGATAGAAGTTCTAGTGTTCTATAGCACTGTAGGGTAACTAGTAAGCAATACATGTATTTTTTTTTTCAAATAGCTAGAAGGGAGTAGTAATTTGAATGTTAACAGCCCAAAGAAATGATAAATGTTTGAGGTGATGGATATGCTAATTATCCTAATTTGATCATTATATATTGTATACATGTATCTAAATACACATTGTACCCATAGATATGAGTTATGTCAAGGTAAAAATATATATTTTCAGAACATTTTTAATACATAGAAATAAAATTGGTTTTGTATCCTACAATCTAACCTCACTAATTAGTTCAAGTAGGTATTTTGTTTTGTAGATTCAGTAGGATTATCTACATAGACAATGATGTTCATGATTAAAGATGGATTTACTTTTTCTTTTTCAATACAGTCCTTTTATTTATTTTTAGTCTTCAGTCTTTTACCATTAAGTGTGATGTTTAGCTGTTTTTCATAGTTGCATTTTTTAGATTGTGGGAATTCCTTCTATTCTAGGTAGCTGATGAACTTTCAGATGTAAAACCTACCATGGAATTCCTGGGATAGACCCCATTTGTTATGATGTATTTTCCTTTTATATATCTTTGGATTCTATTTGATATATTTTTGTTAAGAATTTTTACATTTATATTCACAAGAGATATTGGTCTGCATTTTTCTTTTCTTGTAATGTATTTATCTGATTTAGATATTGCTCAGGCTGGCCTCATAGAGTTGGGAATTATTCACTGCTTTTTGGGACACATTGTGTACAACAGGTCTTTTTATTTCCTAAAATTCAGCAGAATTATTCAGTGAAGACTTCTGCCCCTAAATTTTTCTTTATTGGAAGGTCAACTACACACTCAGTTTCTGTATATAGGGCTATTTAAATACTTTAGAAATTCTACTTTGAGTTTCATTTGTTCTTCTTTTTCTAACTTCTCTTTTTTTGTTTTTGAGATGGAGTTTTACTTTTTTTTTTGTTTTTTGTCTGAGACATAGTCTTGCTCTGTCACCCAAGCTGGAGTGCAATGGCATGATCTTGGCTCACTGCAACCTCCTCCGGGTTCAAGCAATTCTCCTGTCTCAGCCTCCCTAGTAGCTGGGATTACGGGTGCAATCCACCACACACAGCTAATTTTTGTATTTTTAGTGGGTACAGGGTTTCACCATGTTGGCCAGGCTGGTCTTGAACTCCTGACTTTGTGATCTACCCGCGTTGGCCTCCCAAAGTGCTGAGATTACAGGTGTGAGCCACCACACCCAGCCCTTCTTCTTCTAACTTCTTAAATTGGAGGCTGAGATAATTTGAGAGCTTTCTTCTTTTCTGGTATAGGCAGTTAGTATAATAAATTTCTAAGTTCTTATTTACCAATCTTTTAAAATTTTAATTCATTTGGTTTTCATTTTTGTTCACTTCAAAATACTTAGTTTATCTTTCGATTTCTTTGTTGAGCCTCAGGGTATTTATGGTTACTTTACATAGTTTACAAATATTTCAGGATTTTCTAGAGTTCTGTCCGTAATTCTTCTCTGATTTAATTTCACTGTGGTCAGAGAATATATTCTATATGAATTGAGTTCTTTTAAATTTGTTGGTGCTTGTTTTATGATTCAGAAGATCATTTACTTTAGTAAGTGTTTCAGGTATCTTGAGAAGGATGTGTATTCTGCTTTTGACTTTTGTGGGGAGTATTCTAGAAACTCCTTTTAGGGCAAATCAGATGATAGTGTTTTTGTCTTTTATATTCTCCTGATTTTCTGTCTACTTGTTCTATTAACATCAATTATTGAAATCCAGGTGTTAAAATATCCAATTATAATTGTGGATTTGTCTATTTCTCTGCTTTTCTATCAGTTTTGTGCTTCACGTATTTAGACGCTGCACTCTTAGGCCCAAATGTCATGGCTTCTTAATGAATTGACCCTTTTATTATTATTAAGTTATAATTTTTGTCCCTGGTAACATTCTCTGCTCTAACAATCTGCTTTGGCCTGGCAAGATGGTGCACATCTGTAATCCCAACATCAAGAGGTTGAGTGGGAAGATCACTTAAGGCCAGGAGTTTGAGACCAGCCTGGGCAATGTAGAGAGATTTCACCTCTACAAAAAAAATTAATTAATTAATTAATTTAAAAAATTAGCTGGGCATGGTGGATCCTATATGTAGTCCCAGCTGTTTGGAAAGCTGAGACAGGAAGATGGCTTGAGCCCAGGAGTTCAAGGCTGCAGTAAGCTGCAATCACACTACTTCCTTCCAGCCTGAGTGACAGAGCAATGCCCTGTCTCTAAAATAGAAAAAAATTAATATTAGTCTGCTTTGACTAATATTAATATAGTTACTCTAGCTCTCTTTTGATTATTTTTAGCACTGGTTTTCCTCCTTTTACTTTTAACCTGTTTGTGTTCTTATGTTCAGAATGATTTTCTTTCTTGTAGATGGTATATAGTTAGGTCCTACTTTTTATACATTTTGACAATGTCTGCCTTTTGACTGGGAGTATCTAAACCATTTACATGTTGTGATTATTGATATGGTCACGTTTAAATTTCCTATATTCCTATTTGTTGTTTTATTTTTCTTTTTTTTTGAGACGGAGTCGTGCTCTGTTGCCCAGGCTGGAGTGCAATGACACAATCTCTGCTCACTGCAACCTCCGCCTCCTGGGTTCAAGCCATTCTCCTGCTGCAGCCTCCCAGGTAGCTGGGACTACAGGCATGCATCACCACACCCGGCTAATTTTTGTGTTTTTAGTAGAGATGGGGTTTCACCATGCTGGTCAGGCTGGTCTGCACTCCTGACCTCATATGATTCATCCACCTTGGCCTCCCAAAGTGCTGGGATTACAGATGGGAGCCACCGTGCCCGGCCTTGTTATTTTTTTTCTAATTGTCCCATCTGTTCTTTGTTCCCTTTTGCCTTCTCTTGAACTGAGTATTTTTAATAATTCCCATTGTCTCTTTTATTGGAATATTAGCTACAACTCTGTTATATTGTTAAAATGATTGCTTTAGAGTTCATAATACACTTCTTTAAAGTATAGCAGTCTGTCTTCAAGTAATTCATGTATAATGTGTGTAAGAAAAGTATACTTCCTTTTTTTTTTTTAAATCTTCTAGCCTTTGAGCTATTTTGTCATACATTCTATATCTACAAAGGTTATACAACCTGGATATAAATTATATTTTTTGTCTCTCATTACATAATTTATGATCTCTTAATGAGATTTAAATAATAAGAAAAATATCTTATGTATTTGGCCATGTGGTTATCATTTCTGGCATTCTTCTTTCTTTTCTGTAAATTCAGTTTTCACCTGGCATATCGTTCTTTTGCCTGAAGGTGTTCCTTTATCATTTCTTGTAGTTGAAGTCTGGGGTTGATGAATTCTTTCAGCTTTTAAGTGTCCAAAAAAGATATTTATTTCACCTTTAAAAAACTATTTTCCATGAGTAAAGTATTAAAGGTTAATGGGTTTTTTGTATGATCTTTGTGTTGTTTTTAAATTTTTCCTCACGTCAAAAATTTTAGGTTGAGAGCTTTTAAATTGTAGTACTTAAAATACTTCTATGTCTTATTGATTGCATTATCTTTGTCTCCTTGAATGGATTTATCTTTTTTCCTTCTGGCTGCTTTTAAGATTTTATCACTGTAAACTATTTAGATGTACCTTGGGTTAGTTGTCTTCATCTTTTATTTGAGACTCACTGGGCTTCTTGAATCTGTGGGAGTATAGTTATCAGATTTGGAAAAATTCTGGCCTGTTTTCTTCAAATATTTTTTCTGCCCCCTCCTCCCACCCCCTGCACCTTCTTCCTTCCTTTTTAGGGATTCCAATTATACATATATTTGGCCTCTTATGATAATCTCACAGCTCACTGAGCTTTTTTATTTGTTTGTTCTTTTTTCTCTATGTGTTTCTTTTTGGGTAGTTTCTATTGCTGTTTTTAAATTCACTGTACTTTTGTGCTGTAATGTCTAATCTTTTAATCACCATTCAGTATGTTGTCTTGTATGTCTCTACTTCATATGTTCATTCTTTCTTCTCCTTAAACATATGAATATAATAACTGATTTACTATCCTTGTCTATTCTAACATCTATGTCCGTTCTAGCTCACTTTCAGTTGATTGGATTTTATTATTATGAGTTATATTTTTCTGTACTACTGATAATTTTTTGATGCCAGGCACTATGAATTTTAACTTGTTTTTGATGTTACATTTTTGTATTCCTGAGCTTTATTCTGGGAATCAGTTTTTGTTTTTAAGTTTTGTACTTTTAAGTTTTGTTAGGTGGCATTAGAGCTGTTTTATAAAGGGGTTTTGCCCCATTGAAACACGACTTATCTTATAAACCTTGGGTTTCTCAGCTTCAGCACTGTTGATTTTTTGGATCAGATTTAATTCTTGAGGGTCACTATCCTGTTCATTGTAGTCATTTGGTAGTATCTCTGGCCTCTACTCACTAGATGCCAGGAACATTCTGCCCCAATTGTGAAAATCAAAAATGTCTATGGATGTTGCTAAATATTCACTGGTTTCAAAATTGTCCCCATTTGAGAATTGCTGATGCCCTGGGAATCGTGAAGCTTTTTATTTTGGCCTTTGGGAATAGCTAGTAATTCCAAGGCACCCTGAAGCACTGTTCCCTCTAATCTTTTTTTGGTTGCGCTTCCACTCTACACACACCTTCAGAAGTTTCCTCATGTCTATATTAATTAGCATTCAACCGAATGCCCAAGAGTCATCCAGCACTGTGAACTAACTACAGTTGCCTTGGTTCCCCAGATTCTCAGCTTTGTCTCTTCAATTCAGGGAGACCATCGTTCCTGTGCCGGGGCTTGAAAACACTCCCAGCCAGTCATAGGGCCCACCTCATTAGTTACCTATCTTTAAGAGATTACTGTTCTCAGTTGCCTGTTGGTCAAAGCCTTGAGAGCCTTCACTTCCTATATTTTGTCTTTTTAAAAAATTTTTTTGAGGCAGGAGGGCAAAACTAGTCCCTGCCTGCTACTCCATCTTGGCTGGACAAGGAAGGTTTTTTGTTTTTGTTTTTTTCTTTTTGTAGAGCTTTAAATTATTTGAAAAGTTTTATGTGACTAATCTCTTCTAACTTATCTCCTATTTAGTGTTTTATATATGGGTTTGCTTAAAGGTTAGCAAATTAAAAAAAAAATGATTCCAAGAGAAACAAGGTCTTTTGATTCAGCCGGAAACATATAACCTACTTGTTCCAAAAGTTACTTTGTAAGTAATTTTGGAAAACATCAAGCTATTTGTTTACTCATACTATTTTTTTTATTCTTTAAAAGCTCTCCTTCAAAACTTCATTGAGACTTACTAAACTTTTAAAGATGAGAGATACTGCATACAAAGCTCTTAGCATCATGCCTGACACAAAACAGTTTTAAAGCTTATAAGCATACATATTTACAGAAATTAAAAAACTTGCTTAAGCAAGCTGTGAGTTGTTTGAAGAAAGCAAGGTGTGACTGTTATAATCTGCAAGGAATATTCTAGAAAAGACTACGTTGTAGCAGTACTCTACAGTATAAATTTTTACCTAATTCCATATGTGGTATTTGTTTTAAAGAGGTTTCCTATTATGATTTTTAAATTGATAATACTTTTAAATTCTAATGTAAAATTATTAGGCTACTTAAGGTTCTTCTCTCTATTAGAAAAGTATTACTCATAATGTGACCTTAATTTGTGTTTTGCAGGCAGAAGCAACAAATTACCCACCTGCATGAGAGGATAAGGGATAATGAATTATGGGCTCAACATGCCATGTTAGGACATTATATAAATTGTGAGGATTCTTATGTGCCTAGTTTGGAGGTAAGATTGTAGAGAATTTTGCAGTTGTTTTCGTAGTAAAGCTTGTGTTAATAATATACTTATCTTGTAATATAAGGAAATTTTAAATCAACTTAATGTATTCACATGACTTACACTTATTTGTATATATGTTAAAAGGTGTCCACCTACAGCCTTCCATCTGTCCAGATCGCACACCCCTCTCTACACACATACAGGAACTACTGTCAGTTTCTGGTGTATCCTTCTGGAGTTGATGTATATCACAAGCAGATACAAGTGTGTTTTATCCTTCTTCTACATTTAAAAACTATAAGAATTGTACATTATCTGGCACCTTTTTTTCTTTATATTATATAAAAATTATATAAAACACAATGATTGTTTTCCTATCATTACTTAGGTAACACCCCTTTCCTTTGGTTTTGTAGCTGTGTAATTTTCCATTTTATGGAGATAGCATAATTTATTCTACCTGTCCCCTACTCATCAAAATTTGAGTTGTAAGTTAAATTTCCAGAAGTTAAATTTCTAGGTGTTGTATAAGTTTGTGATTTTTACTGTTACTGTCAAATTGCACTCTAGGAGAACAGTGTAATAAAAACCCTTACTGTCCCACTACTCAACCCTCAGCCATGCTAACAGAGTGTGTTATTAAACTTCTGGATTTTTGCCCTTCTAGTAGTAGGTCTTATATAAAAGATAGGTGGGATTTATCTCCGTATGGTCATATGGTTTTAATATGTATTTCTCTTAAGAGTAACGTTATATTTCTTTTTATAAATTTAAGGACCCATTCATATTCCTTTTTCTGTGAATTGTCTTTTCATATCCTTTGCTCTTACCATGAAATCTGATTCTAATGAGTATTTTATAAATGCATCTCACTTTTACAAATGAGCCTATTTAACCAAACAATGACATCTACTGTGCTAAATTTTGATGTTACAAAAATGAAAAATAGTTGCTGCTTTCATGGATCTCAAAACTTATAGAGAGAGAGACCATATAGGAAAACAAGTTTGTCTATTCCTTCTAAATTTATTTGCATTCACTGTTGGTTAGACAGTAAATGGAAATGGAAATGAATAGAAATGTATGAAAAAATGTAAATGAATAGGAATGTAAATGAGGTTAATTTTGCCCATAAGGAGAATATAGTCTAATTGGAACACAGATTCAGAGTCTGTGAGGCCTGATAACAAAATTTATATGACTGCAATGGCTACGTTCCCTAATTATTACCCATTTTTTTTAAAAGCGCTTTCCTTAAACATTATTTGCATTTTTTAAAAAATGTAAACTTTATATTGGTTTGTTTATTTTGAAAAGAAAACAGAAAGACTGTTGGCATACTTATTGGGATCTAAAGTGAGGCCTGATAATTTTGTAGTGGTATATACTTATATTTGTGGATTTTTGGTGGTGGTGGTATTCTCTTCATTAGGCCTTTATTCCAATATTTTAAGTTAAGTAGAATTGTTTCCTTCATTATATCTTTAAACGTATTGTTTATAAATACTAGAGACATTGGTATATTAAAATCAGAAAATATTGACGAGAAAATAACTGTCGGATTTACTTGAGGCCTGAGGCACTTAACATAGAGATTCCAACTTGCTTTTTATACTTTAGTTATGAATACTTCAAAATTGACTTTTTATAATTTGGTCTCATCTTGGACTTCTAGCACATGATAGCAAGGCTTTATAGTGCACTACTGAGAATCAATAGCATACAGATATTTGAAAACGGTATTTCTATACTATGGAAGTAGTGTATCTTGGTTTGATAACAGCATTTTAGTAGAACCATTCAATTTCTCTTTAACATTCTGAATAAAGGCTTTACTTTAATTATATAATTATCATATGACTGAAAGCATGTAAAAAACAGGTATCTAAAAGATGAAGTAGATGTTCTTTTGACACAGCTTCAGGCCAGTAGAGGGCTCTCCAAGTCAGTGTGCAAGGACAAATAAAAATATTAATATTTGGAAGAGTATGTAAAAGAGGTTGTTAAAAATTATAGTAGTATTTTGAAGTATGTGAGGAATTGAAATATTGTTGAGAAATCTGATTTTAAAAGATGAGAGCAATTCATAAAAGAGAATACAAGGAAAATCTTAAATACTAAATGGGTATGATAAATAATGTGAGATAAACTTTTATCAGTAGATAGATACAGAGAGCCAATAAAATGGTGAGTCTTAAAAGAAACAACAGATGATAATAAAATATTTCTTTAGCTAAGGTTTTTTGTTTTTTACCTTGGATCTTTGAATGATTTAATTTTTTATGCATAGCATTTTGTATAGGCACGTTTTTCCAATCCATAACATATTCATCCTAATTCTGTAGACACTACACAAAGAAAATTATGCTTTTAACAATAATTATTAAAATTAATGTGTGTTTGAGTAAATAAGTAAAATAAAATTAACATTTTAAATGAATTTATAGATGGAAAACTTATTCTTAAGAAGTAACTTCTATTTGCTTATTAAAAATTTGACTGACCTTATAATTAAGATGACCTTGGAAGTAGATATCACTCAGTCTTATAGGTAGAGAATGAGAATCATGTCTTTATTCTACAATCCAAACTTTCTGGATGGTTTTAATGGTAGATTGGTAAAACTGGGGAGTAGTTTGTATTTCTGTTTGTACTTAAATTTCCATCTGTGGTTAAGAGGCCTTTGTGGAAAAAATAAAATATGAAGGACCCTTTTTCTTTCGTTAATTGAAGAAAGAGGCCTCTTCTTTCCATATGTATGTGTACCTTGAAAAGACCAACCAAATAATAATTACTATTAAGTTTCATTGATGCATTATTTCTTTTCTTTCCATTTTATTCTTTTTCTTTCCATTTATTTTTTTTTCTATTTATTTGTTCTTCAATTTTTTTGTTTCTACCACCAAATCTGTACTAATGAACATTGAGTCCCACCATTACAAATGAGCATCTTCAACAAAACATCAAACATCAAATGTGTTAAATTCTGGGGACACAAAAGCAAAGAATGATTTCTGCCTTTATGGAACTCAAACCCTACACAGAGAGTATAATAAAAATTTAGCTATCCATTTCCTTAAAAATTGTTTATCTTAACTATAGATAAGGTTCCATTTATGCTGCAGCAATAGAAATGTGAATGAAGCTCTTTTTGCCCTCAAGGAATGTGTAGTCTAATGGAGAATACAGAAGGTAGTTGCAGTGTGGTGATTCCCACAGGGGTTATGTGTGAAGTGCTATAGTTCCCCAGCTGTGAACACAGAAACTGGTTTTCCAAAGTCCTGGCCAGGCTTCCTATAGGAAGTGATAATCCAGTTTGAGAACTTGATGAACTAAATGAATTGAGCAAGGTGAAGGGGGTGAAGAAATAGTATTTGAGGCATAGTGTATACCATGTGGAGAGGCTTAAAGGAATGAGGAGAAATATAATGCATTTGGAAAATGCAAATTATTCTGTATGGATGAAATGTAATATAAGAGAAAGATAGTGGTAAATATATGGTTGAAGAGATAAGCAAGGGCCAAGTGATACCAATGATCTGAGGTGTAAAGGTTTGCTTAGGACTGGCTCAGTTTATGCCTGATGTGCTAATAAATTTATTAATAGCTCTGTCTTTCACTTTACAATGTATCCTAGTTTGGTTACTCTGATGGCATAATAGAGATTAGATTTAAGGTAGCTATTACTAGAGGCAGGGAAACCATCAGAAACCTGTCTCTGTAGTCCAAAAGTTACGTGAACATTTGAATTTTAAAACTATAGTGGTCAGAATGAGAAGACTGTTGTTTAAACATCTAGATGACCAAGCCATGGTAACATGGGCCAGATTTAATGACATATTTAATGTGGTGAGAGAATGATTGCCTAGTTTGTGATGGAGACAATTGATTTGTTTATGGAGATTACTACATTAAGGATCGGCTTAGAGGAGAAAAATGAGCTAAACTTACACCTTACACATTGTAAATTTGGGGTTGAAGTGAAGAATGAGGGGGATATTTGTGGGTGCAGGTCTGAACCAGAGATAAGAGGTTAGATGTTGTCAGTCTAGGTAGCCTTGGGCATGATCCGGTATTTGAGGAAGGGTTGTTCAGTGAGAGGAAAATGGGATCCAGAACTAGAGACAGGGAACAGCAGCATTTTAGAAGGTAGCAGAAGAGCACAACTTGGGAAGGGACCTGGGGGAAGTTGTTACAGAAAGGAAAGCAAGCAAGCAAGGCTTTTTCCACAGAAAGGGAACAGTTATATAAAACTCAGAGAAGGCAGATAAAGGCTGAAAAGATGTTACTAAATGTAGAAATTAAAACATCTGGCCTCAGATTTTTTTTTTTTTTGTTATAGCACAACTTATATATTTCAAATGGACAAAAAGTTAGTATCATTTACAGTATCTTAAGATAAATTTCCTTTGAATGGGAGCTTCCTTTCCAGTACTTTGAGGTCTACAAGACGTAATTAGAAAATTTACTACTGTGGAAAATGAAGACTGCTTAAATCGAATGGGGGGGAAGGGAAGGGCCTGTGGTTTTTCTTTTTGATTAATTGCTGTAACACTGTCCTTCAGGCGGCTGAGGGAGTTTCATATTTTCTTTAGACATCATTAGGCACCGAAGCTCTTGCAGGACAACTTTGATGCTATATGAATTCTGCCATTTTGCTAGCACTGATATGGCTCTTGGGTCCACCACTCCATTAGAACTATTAACTCCATTCATATTAATTTTTGTTACAAATCTTACAAAGGGGGGTGTTTCTGGGTATTTAGGTCCACATTCTATTTTAAGGCTGTATATTTGGTTTTCATAAATTGTTCTTGGAGGCCCAATTATCATCCCTGTCCATCTTGTAAGTGTCATGTCTTCATCATCTTCTAGACCCCAGCTAGACTGCCATCTCCTACTCCTTTCTGGCCTTCTTTCAGTTCTTCCAACAGTCGGAAATTGCGAGGGACTTTTACTCCCGAGCCCGTGGTGGCTGCCATCTTGTGTCGCTCCTCAGATTTTTT